AACATCCCAAACAATGTATAAGTCCAATTAAATATATGCCCAGGAAAATTCTTTAGCCTAAATATCTCTTTCTAACAGTGAAAACTTACTCTGCACCCCAAAACTTCACTGAAAACTTAGAACTGTTTTGCAACTAGACTTTCCTGTCTGTTAGACAGACCCACTTATCTTAGCATCTAGGTTGTTGAGGACATGTTAAAGAGGAATAACTGAGTTATTGGCCACTTTCCCAGTCCCATCTAACAGAACATGAATTCCCTAAGCATGAAAGCCCAGGTCTCACAAAATATTTCTTCCTCATGGCAGAGATAAGCATAATTGATGGAGATCCCTAAGTCATATCAGCGACAGTAACTTGGCTCCTAGGGGTTCTCGGGTTCCTGATGGAAAGACATTCCTGGGGGTGCGATTCACTCCTGCTCTGTTTCTCCCTGCTCTCCTAGGAGGGGAAGTCACTGTGCTATTCATTTCTGACTAAATGGTAACAATGTCTATGATCCCGTCTCACTGTAATGGGACTTCCAGAGAAGGCTGCAGGCACTCAGTGTCAAATCATCTGAGAATACACTGATTTATTTAACTCTCAGTGCATTGCCATGGGTTAAGAGTTTAATAAAGTTAAAAATAATTGAGGACTTTGGGAAGTACCATGGCTAAGCTATTTGAAAACTCACTTCCCTGCCAGCTTTCTCTCATTCTGTTGACAGACTGTAGAACCTTGCTTTCATCTCTTTCCTCTTTTTACAGCTTAACCTGGTCCCTGAAGGAGTATGCTCTTTCTAGAAGACAGATTATGCACTATACACAACATGAAAACTTTACACACACTTCCTGTTGTCATCTGAAAGATTTTTCTACCTGGAAGAAATAACTTATCTCAACTTTCACTATCAGATTGGTTTTATTTAGAATTCCTTATGAGGACCAACATATTTAAACTTTATGGAGGGATCTAAGCTGAAACTTTAGTTCCTCTTAATTTTTCTTTTTCCCTAGTGAGATTTATGACAGCTTTCCCAATTGCTGTTATCCATTATAGAAACTTAAATGCTCTTCAAGGATATGTGATTTCAGAAACATTATCTAATTTTCTATCTAAAGGGAAGAAAAGAGCTAAAAGTAAAAGGGCAAGGTGAAGGCTCGTGTTGCAGAGAAGAGGAAGATTTGTAACCATGCAAGAGACTAGGTGGTCACTCCATTTAATGTATGTACTTCACACTGGAAACAAACTAAAGAAGTAAATAAATCTTTTTTAGATAGCTTCCACGGGTAGCTAGTCTGTTCATAAAAAAATGCATACTGCTTAAAAATGTCATAAATCATATTTTAAATTATTTTTCATCTAATAGTTTTTTATTCTAATCATCATCCAATAAATGTCTATTAAGTACTTAGCTGGCGTAGAGAGTGCAGGTTAGATTTAAAATGACAGCATTTTTGCCCTCCAGGAGCTTACAAAAGAAAGGCGTTGTAGATCATTACTTATGAAAGATTTTGCAAAACATTTCGAAATACAGTATGTTAGATAATCAAATAAAGAAGTACATTCAACTTTTAAAAACTTCACTATAAAATCCAAACATCAATATTCTAATAATGTGGTTTGAGCTACATTAATTCACAGTGGTAACTGTTCTTCTGCATCCAAGACCCACTAGCTGAAAATTGCTGCAGGTTCCAAATATGAATATTAAAATACCATGGGGAAAAGAATTAAGAAAAGTTTTATTTAAAAGATCTTAGAGCTGCTTTCTGGAAAACACAGATCTGAGGACCAGCAGGCAAGGACAATTCAATTTAAAATCACTTCACATGCACAGAAGACTGCTTCTCTTTCACAACGCTGACACATTCACCACTAAAACACTTCCCAGAAGTGCTGCTGGAATCATATAACCACAATACACATTCATTCACAGGGAAGTATCTGAAAAAGGTTATGGTGAGAAACTTTAGAGCTACACGTCAAACTCTATTTCAGTGACATCCTTTGAAGTTTGGAACTCAGTACCAAGGCTGTTTTGGCACCTACACGGTACATGGAAGGACAGCATGTTCCACTCTGGCTACAAAGCCAATGGCCGGCAGTATTACAAGAAGAAGATGCAAATGGCTAATGGCTCAGTGGAACCTGGCAGTCATTTGAAATGTGATAACTAATGTAGGATCTTTCTACTAAAGTCACAAATAAGGTAATGCTCATATAATGGCCAATCTCTTGTTGAAGAAATGTTGTGGTATGAACTTTAATGTATCTTTTCATTTCAGTAACTAACAAAAACACAAATTTTTATCAATTTCATAGTTAAAACTTTAGGACAATATGAGTTTTACAAAAATCTACAACCGAGTTAGAAACAATTTAGAAATTCCCCCTAAAAGCAATCAGTGAGACCATCTGCCAAACCAGGTTTGAGGTTCCTACCCAAGCTCCTCTTCCAAGTCCCACCTTCACCCCCAGAGAGAAGAGATCTCAAAGACCTCAGCAAAAATCTCCCTTAAATTTTGATTTGTTTTTAATTTGGTCATTAGCTGTATTTTAGGTTGTATTCTTCCAACCTCTGACTACCTCTCCAGGGTAACTGTGAGCTTGCCCCAACTCCTCGCCCTTCCTCCATGTGAGCCCTTTCTCAGCTCTTCCAGTGTGCCAGCACTCAGCGCCTCCTCACTGCTCCCTCGGCACATACCAGTTCTGCCCAGCTGACAACTGGTCATTGTTCACATGTCTGTTTATATTTCACTTCTCAGGGAAACCTGTCCTGATCCCACACACTAGGTGAGGTCTCCCTGGTGTGTGCTCCCAGATCATCTGCTGTAGCCTCTGGTTCTCCATGGAAACCCTCATCCCACTCTTCCATATTTATTGTTTGGAATAACAATAAATTCTCTGGCAAACTGTAAGGTCCATGAGTGATTGGGCCTGTCCTGGGTACAGCCTTATCACCAGAGCTTCATATGGCGTATGGAACACAGTAGGTTTAGTGAGTTTAGTTGTGTGTGAGTGTGGGTGTGGGTAGGTGTGTGTTTGAGGTTTTGGCACTCAATCAGGTTACATTAGTTAATTATGAGCAAATTAGTACAGTGTGTCCACCACGCTGACACTTCTTTCACTAAAGTAGTGGTGAGCTAAAACTAATGACGACTCCCCTCATTGGGGACTCTTAGAACCCAGAATATTTAAGTTTGGCAAAGAGAGAGATGATGCATTTTCTCATTTATACATCCATTAATAATTGATTTTCTTAGTCTCTCTCTTCCTTTAAAGCTTAAATGAGAGAACAGTTTAATGAACAATATATTAAATAATGATAGTACTAGCATAACTACAAGTCATATTTAGAGATAATTCATGAGCATTAACTAGTTTGCATGCTGTAACTATGACATGTACATACACAAATGAAATTTCTTTCTTAATTACTTACTATAGATTGGAGGTGGTGGGAAATGATATGAAAAGAGAGTATGTTGCAATAGATATAAATTAATAAAGGAGATAGTTTATATCATATTACTTTATTTTAATATTGGTAAGGATTAAAAATATTATTTTTATGCTTATAATAATGCTTACAATAATTATTTAAGTAGCAAAAAGGAATTTTGAAGAGGTAAATAATTTCCCATCCCTGTTCATAGTATATTCAACATTGGTTGACCAGAACCTTTAAGGTATTAAGCAATTAGCAGCCTCCTATACAGGAGCTCTAATCTGAGAATCTGAGGGAATGCTGTGGATTTACACATCTCTAAAAAAGGCACAAAAATATTGCAATAAATATTGTTCTTCAAAAGACAAGTTTCTAGCAATGACTAAGATATAAAATGCCTCAGGCAAATTAGTGCAACTCATAGAGAATTCAGTACTGGTCACAAGAATTCATTAATAACAAAGGAAATATAAATAAGTAGTTTTAAGTAATAGTAACAAGGATTTTTACTGTAAATGTGAAGATGCAGATATACATGTAAATCTATAGAATTATATTTAATGAATTCAAAATTGTGTCTCCACTGGCTAACTAGAAAACAGTGTAGCATAAAATCACTTTTAACTCCACCTGCATCTCCAGTTTTGGCAGATCCCCCTCACCGAGGCATCGTAGGAGAATCTGAGTTATTTCTACAGCATTCATGAGGTTTCCAGTGGGGACATCCCTTACAAAGAAGGGATGTGTAAGTCTAGAAAATGGGACACTGAACAAACAGGAACAATGAACAAGAATGTAGAGTGTTTTTCCAGCAATGCCCAGAGTAGAGATAACAGATCTGAGGAATAGTAATATTACGATCAACAGCGAAGTGAAGTCTGTGGGGGGTAATATGTTGATGATAAGCTCTCACTACAGTTTGGATGCTCTGAGAGTAGGCATTAAGATTCTGGCTACTGGAAAGAGAACTCTCTCTGGAAGTGAAAAAGTTAGTATTTTGGCTTAGGCCAAAATGTCTTTGGTGAGTTTGTCTGGTATGAGCCAACTTACAAAAATTCAATATATTCTGGGTTTACTGAAAACATTTAGATTCTTGATCTATAAAGCTGAGATCAATACCCTCAACCACAGTTTAGAAAGAAAATGCCCTGGCCTGAGCAGTCAGTAGCCTTCCTTGGACACCATCTCTATCATGGCTGGCTTTCTTTCTCATTCTTATATGAACTATGAGTAATTTTATATTTGTCATATTTATCTTTATCTATCTGTTGGCAATTACATAATTGCCAACAACTTTTGTGAGTATATAATTACACAAAATGGAGTTAGGTAATACGAGTATTTTTTGTCACCGAGGCAATTGGACATTCGTTAGAGCAAAAACACAATCCTGTAGTCTCAGCATACGTGAATGCTGGTGTGATCATACTGTTTTCCTTTTACCTAAAATGAGAAGTTTGGGTAATGTCTTGAGAAGTTGTTTGGGGGATCATCAGCTACCTGCAGTGATCAGCACAGGGAATAATTAATAAAGAAAGGTGTTAAGAAAAAGAACAAAAATTTTCAAACCTGGTACTGATATCTTCCCCAAGGTTGGATGTTTCATCTCCATAACGAGGCCATTGTGCAACACCTTAAAATGTAAAAACAGAGAGAAAAATAATTTATAAAATAAAATTATCTCCAATCTCAAAGGATATGGAAAGCCATCTATTCTGTCCATTGAAGAAAGATATTGCAAAACACAGAGATGTTCTAAATTTTAATTTGAAAGTAAATATTTGAGATAAAATTTTTTCCATCTTATATTAAACCAAGTGAAGGCAAAAAGAATTAGAAGACTCAAGGACTAGCAAACCATATTTTTATAAAGTCTTCCCACACTTAAAAATGTTATTGGCTCCTAAATATAGGGTATGATTGCCCCTCTTTCATCTATGTTTGATCCTCTAAATATTAAAGTTCAGCCTCTTCCTTCTTTACCTTATAGCAGGACTTGGTCAAGATCAACTACAGAAGGACAGGATAGGAGGAACCAGGACCTGGAGCAGAGGAGACAACTAAGGTGGCACATGTGCTCCTGGCAATTTATTCAGTGAAAGGTATGGGGAGTCAGTCCAGTTTGAAAGGTGACTCAGAGTATCCAGAAGGCCCAGCGACTGCTGAAAGTGGACAGATTCAGGACTTCTGTGATAAGCAACGTGCAGAGCCAGCTGACAGGGAGCCCAGAGTAGGCCCAGGTCAGAGGACTGAGCGAGAGATTGAAACCAGAGATGTTTTCAGTGGTAGTAAGACCTTAATCATAAGACTAGGTTTCAGAACTAGGACTCCACTATCCTGGTGTCAGTGGAGAGCAGGGTTGGGGAGCCCACTAGGAAAAAAAGCCAGAGAACCCATCTTAGAGGGCTGATTGGGTTCCCATGCACTGGTACCAAGATGGGTATTTGGTGTCCCATCAAGAACACAAGGTAGACTTGACCAAAGGGTTGAGACTCAAGGCCAGTTACCAGGACAGGGACATTCTATCAGTACTCAACTAGTGACTTGATGCTGAACTGCTTAACTACTAAAAAGAGCTAGATAAATCCTTGGCATATAGAGGCTGTAGTTTTTCCTATGGGGTGGGTAGGAGAACAAAATCTGCCAGAGATCAAGTGTCCTCCAACTGTAAATAGAGGATGAGATGAGGGCATGGAACTAGATTCTAGAACATAGAAGTTGAATTACTAGAGGCAAAAATGCTCTGTCATACACAAAGGAAAATGCTACAAAGTTGTTTTCTTCTGTTTGGTTTTTAACAACTGGAGGCTACATGGGTACACTGTCTCAAAGAACCCCAAGAATTAAATTACTATGGCTATTACTGGATCTTCAGTGAGACATATATGGGCAACTTACAGATGAATTGTGTTTCACCTGCACTATCTACCAAATGGAAAGCTTCTCTCTTCCTGTTCTGTACATGGATCTAAAGGACAGAAGAATTTCAGTGGCACAGTAAACCTATGGACCACAATTTCATGCTAACATCATAAAGAGTAGCAGTTGTTATAGTTCTATAGTATTTTGAACTTCAGGTAAAAGTAAAATTTTCATATCCATATCCTTATCATAATATTTTCTGCAGAAGAGCATGGAATAAACAAACGGACAAAAATGTTTTCTCACTTGGAAAACTTAGGGAAAGAGGTCAAATTTCTTGGGTTTTATCCGTTTCCAGGGAGCTTTTTGGTTACACTATGGAATAAACCATCAGTAATACAACCTCACAGGTGACTTTTTAAGGTTAGAAATATAACTCAGCTACGGCTAAATATTCTGGCTCCCACTGCTTTCTTTAAGAATGGTCACCATTTTTGGGGCAATGCTCTTTAAACAACTATGTCAACCCCCCTCATTGAAGGTGATGCCACACCATATGGAGATCCTTTCTAGGGATGCCTTGCCTCTCTTCTGGAATCACCAGCTTTGCACCCAAGAGCTGGCCAGGGAAAATTCTTGCCAGTGTTAGAACTGTGCTATAATTTAGTTCTGGTGTGGCTCATTCTCAGCACCCGCCCAGCACAGCCTCCTCCTATGTGGGGGTGGGGGCTAAATGCCAACACGAGGTGCTAAATCTCAGTTCTACTGAGGACAGGAACAAAAATATCGAGCTAAATTTCACTCGAAACAATTATCTGCACACTGAATCATTCTCTTCTCGTATCTCTGTTGCCCTCCTGACTACCTCTTTGTAATAACACTGCAGTGCTACTCACAAAAGACAAAAGTGAGTGTTCTTAGCTAAATATAACTTAACTGATAGTGTTGAAATTAATTAACGCTGCATTTTAATCATGTAGCAAACGTTAAGTGTCAAACGTGAAAGGGTAGTTGGTAAAGGTCAAGGGACATACGTCAAAGTTTTGTGAAGCAAAAGCTAGCAGTTGATGGAAGTTATTCATGGAAGCAGCTTAAGGAGTGTACTTCCTTCAGCCCTGCCCCCATTGCTGTCTATAGATGATATTCCCAACATGAAACTTTCTTCTCTAACTGTATCAATTCCTTTGCATTGAAAATTGTTCGGTTTTAAGCAGAGATATAAATTCTTCTTAGGTTTGGCAAAGGAAGTTAACTGCAATTTCTCATTTGCTGTAGTATTTGTACAATTCTGAAGCAAACGGGCTAGTCTGAGCCCCCATCTTCAGAAAGAACTGACTTATTCCCCTGCTTGTTTGCCAACCACATTTTTATGTAAAGTCTGAAGTCCATAAAATTCCATAGGATTTCTTCGTGAATCAGGTCAGGTTATCTCAGAGAACAACTGAGGCTGTGGCAGTGTTGTCCCTGGAAACCTTGCCTGATGACTTGGAATCTTGGAAAACTCTCCAGCCTTGTCTCTGGGGCAGGGCCTGCTCTGCTTAATAACATATTCAAGAATCTCAGAACGTAGGCAGTCTGACTGAATTTTAACATAAATCCCTCCTGCTGCACTTCAGACATACTGTCTTATCCCAAGTTCATTGGAAATGGAGGAACTGCCACTCATGACCATTTGTATGACGTTTCTCTGGGAACGGCGACTAAACGTTCCGTTTTCCTTTTCTGATCCAGGCTTAGCACCCCAAGCTCTATTACCTTAACCTAGAAATTTAAATTTAAAGTATTTCATTTTCTAACCACTAACAATGGAATGGAGACCTTAGCTTAGGGACTTTCAACTACCATTTTCCCTTAAGGAAATTTTATGCCTAGACGCTCAGTCTGGCCATTCAGGATATACTTTGTTGCATATTTAGTTATTTTAAAATAAAGCAAGGGATCTTCCCCAGAACTTTGTAGTGGATTTTGTCCTTCTTTTACTTATTTTATCCTCCTTAGGTCTTTCATGGTTTGGTAGCTCTTCTAAAATTCATTTCCTCTTGAAATTTCAAAAGCCTACTCTTGACAAGAATAGAATTGTAGACAGTGCACAACCTCTTTAGCAAAGTATCAGGCCTATTTAAAATAAGGTCTCTCTTTCTTCTTCAAGAGTTTAACAGATTGACAGCCTAATGACAGAGTCAAATGATAATGTATTAATGATGAGGAGAAAGAGTAAAATGTATACCTTAAAGTGATGTGGGAAATAAAAGTTTAAGTGAAAGTAAGAAAGTCTTTTTATAAAGTCCTATGGAGGCAATGGCAGAAAAAGTCTGTAATATAGCACTAGCAAGAAAAAAATGCAAAAAAAGTAAAAATGGATACCCACTATATAGGCAGTGAAAATCTCTACGGAAAACAAGAGATCTGGGTCAAGATTAGAAGCAGTAAGTCATATTCAAATGAAAAGAGATTGATAGAGTGCTGGCATTAAATGATGTATACAAATGATATGTGTAAAGACCGTATCAAAAATCAATGTAATACCTTCAATGACACTAACAATGATGCACAAAAGAGATTTTGTCTATCCATTAACTATGAATAGAGACATAACCTATTTATTTAATTTAACAAACATCATAGAGCACCTATATACTAGCTGATATGAAGGGGCTGGCAGTAAAAAGATGAATGATGAATGTACTTGCATTCAAAGTGCCTATAACTGAAAGAGAGGTTAGGGAATAAGAGACCTGAGCCAATTTTTATAACACAGTTTAAGCTCCACAATGAAGAAGCAATATCCAATGAGTAAGCAAGTAAGTAACTCTCTACCTTAGAAAGAAGCTGAATGATGTAGGTCAAGGAGGTCAGTAAAAGTCATAGAACAAAGATGATATTGAAATAAAACATTAGGTTAACAATTACAATGAGAAATATAAGAAGAGCAGCTATTGCTCAACAAAACTCCTTAAGGGTCAGGCATTGTGTTAGGAGCTAAAGAGTTGTCTCCATTTAATCCTCTCATTAACTAGACCAGATAGGAATTACTATCATCTGCTTTTCCACTGATAAAGTGATGGAGGCCTGATGAGGTTAAATACCTGCCCAATGTTCACAATTAATAAGTGGCTGACCTTGGATTATAATTTATGTGCGTCTGACCCTAAACTCTTAGCCAGTTGGATATTTAGCAAAAGAAAAAAATAGACGAGGATAATTTGATTTACTATTAAAATAACTAGCTGATGTGGTCAATTCTGTAAAACAAATTAGTCAATTCATTGGGGAAAGAAAATTAGCCAAACAGATTGCTTGGCACTATGAGGCCCAATTAGTTAATAAACTGAACTGCTCCTTTTAGGTAGCCAAGGATATTCTGGCTACCACAGATACAAAGGCTGTGAAAAGAGGAAGGATTTTGGTCCCAGCCTAGCTCAGATTTTGAAGGGGACAGACCCAGCGGATGACCTTGGGCAAGGCACTTAAGTGTTCTGAGGCTCAGAACCCTCCTCAGTAAAAAAGGGGTAATAACTCTTTTTTCTAATTAAAAAATATGAATATTAATCACTTAAAGAGGTATTATAACATATATTTATAGTTTAATGAGTACTAATAAAATGAACACCCATGTACCCAACATCCAGCTTAAGAAATAGAACATTTCCAAAATGTTTAAAGCCCCAAGTTTGCTCCAATCTCTCACGCCTCCATCCCCAAATGATCACTTTTCTGAATTTTTTAAATCATTTCCTTACCTTGTTTTTCATACTTGTACTCCATATGTGT